CCTATCTTCATTTGTTCTGGCTTGCCAATTTTTAATTGGGAGTTTATACGCTAAATGAATAATATGTTCAAATAATCTAATTCTAGCATGGAGAATTGATAACCCAAATTTCAAAGCATCATTATTTATTTCTTTTTCAATATTTAAATTATTAAAGTTTTTTGAGGTATTTCCACATATGTAACATCTCATAGTAGAAGATGTACTTGTCGCTGCATTGCAAACTTTTGCATCAACCATTGTCGGTAGTAATATATGTTTTATATGTACTAAAACACCACTAGCTGTTGGTATGTCAGATTTATTCAGACTGCTTACTTGTTTTTCAATAAACTGGATTTCTTCTTTAGTAATATCCGCTGTTTCATGTAAAAAACGAATGCGTATTGGTCTACAAAATCTTGTAGACAAAGGAACTGGGTTCTGCCATACAACTTTTTTTTTTGTCATCAATATTGCATATTAATCTCAAAGGGACAAATGAACTTTGGAAGATATTCGCATCACTATGTTCGTTGCTCTCAAATAACTGTTTGAACTGTGACTGTTGAGATCCATTACAGCCCCATTTCGATATAAGTTCTAAATTATGTTTTTCTTCTTCTGTTAAGTTTTCTATAACTTCTTCCAAATATTTACACAATCGTAAAGAAGTATGATCTAGCAAATCTTGTAGATTGACTTCTGCATATGTTTCCGTAATATTCATCGACTCTTTTTTTGGATAGCAATCTTGTTTTGCGTTTTTTATTAATGTATTACAAGGGTAAATATTTTTATTAGCAGCATGAATAACTTCATATTGCTTTTTTGATAAATTAGCTTCTACAAATATACTTAAAGCCTCTGATGGTGTGTGTTTTTTAAATTTCTCCTTCTCTTTCGATTTGTCTACAGATGCTAAAACTTTTCGATATTTTGTTGCTCTAGTCGGTGTAAGTGTTATTTTTTTTATCATTTTAGATACATCAATATTTCCTGCAGCATGCTGACTCATACTGGCTGCAAAAGTCAACTCATCAGCAGAAATAGTTTCTCTTATGCCCTTAGTTTTACGTCTCTTACTTCGATCACTCGATTCACCGAAATCTTTTACTGGACGACCCGGTTTTGGTGTTGTCCAGGTAACTAATTTTATGGAAGTGTTTAGCCATTTTTCATTATTTTTTAAAAACCGTTTTTCTTTATTGCTAGCAGCTGACCATTTTTTTTTAAATTCAGATTTAAAATATTTTAAATTACGCTTTAGTGTAAAGTGCTCATTTGTCGGGCATTTTGTTATTTGAATCAGCTCGTTTTCCATGTACGTTAATTTTTTGTCAAGATTTTTCTCTGAACATTTGCGTACAAGTTCGTATAAGGTTTTTCTAGTCATTGCCTTTAATGTTGTTGGTACTTCTGAAAAGTATTACAATTAACATTTAAAAAAATTAAATTAAAAATAAAAATAATATTCTACCTGGTTCTATTGATGCCATGTTCGCGATCGCTGTACATAAACTACGTTTATTCAAACTGTAAGGTGTCCGCTCATACTAGCACAACGGAATATCCACGACTGGCAATTACTATTTACTTTTATATTATTATGATTATATTTCCAGGTAACAAACAACAATTACTTATCTGTATAGATAATAATAATAACGTTAGCTGCAACGACATATCCAAATTGTATAAATATAATGGCACGAGCGCCGCATTATTAAAGTGGTGCTTATCTAAATGGCGTGAATGAGCGGAACATTTTGCTTCAAATATCTAATACTTAGTGTCTATATTATATTTTGAAAGAAAAATTTTTGCTTGACATCGCTCGACACATTAAGATTTGTTCAAAATAATATTAATTCCTTTATAAAGAAAAATAAATGACATGTTAAATTGCATGTTAAATTACAATATGAAAAAATTATATGTCATTGAACCAACTAAATATCAACTCGTCTTCTACCCTAAACATAATAATTATTTGAAACCGCTATTAAATACTTATTTAATCGCATACTGAGTATTAAATAGTAAACGTTAAACGAAACAACAAGAAATAAAATGAGCAATGCCTATTGAACTTTGAACGCTTTATTTGAGTTGCCATTAACAACTATGATTCATAATGTTCATGAGGTCCCGTTTTACATAATAAACTTTAAGAAAATTAGCGTTGCTATGGTTTTAAGCTGTTTTTTTTTTTGTACTTATGGAAAGCTTTTATTCACAAATACTCCACTGTGCGACCGTTTCGCCGCTGGACTATTCACCGCAGACTGTTTTGCCGCCACCGATTTTGATAGCGGTTGTGATAAGCTTTTGAATGATAAGAGTGGTTGTTCTCTGGTATAACAGCGGTTACACTGTGACCGACTTTAGGTGGTGTTGCATAGCAAGTCGAGGGATATTTTCGATATGCGGAGCGGAGCGACGGCGCCGAGGAGCGTAGCGACGAGTGCCGCTAACAGGGCATTTTTGTAAATTATTTCTTATTGGTGGTGTCACTGCTGGATCTCTGCTATATTCTGGTACGAGTTGTGGTGGTATATTTAACTCGAGAAGTGTCGGCGGCGAATCGGTCGGCGGCGAACCAGTCTGCGGCGAATAGTCCAGGTTAGGTCTGCTATGTCCGGGTCCGGTGCTTGATCAAGGCCATGACGATGTCAGCCCTCGATCCTCTTCGGACCACGGGCAATATCTGCCTGAAGTCGCCTGCGAACAGCATGGGTTTACCGCCGAACGGTTATTCGGATCCCATGACGTCCCTGAGCAGGCGGTCCATCACCGTCAGTTGCCGTCCCGGGGACATTGGCGCCTCGTCCCACACGATGAGTGCCACGTCGCGTATCTTGCGCACTCGCTCGGATTGCATGGTGATGGTCGATGTAGAGTCGTCGGTCAGCGTGCCGAACGTCGAGTGCACGGTCATGCCGCCGTCCATGAGTGACGCTGCGATCCCGGTGAATGCGACGCAAAACACTGACCGGCCACTGTTGCGGAGCGACCAAATGAGGCATCCGTACAGAGTCGTTTTTCCGGTGCCGCCAGGTCCGTCGACGTAGAAAGTCTTCGCTACTTCTAGGCCAGGGATGGCGAACCTATGTCACGCGTGTCACGGAGTGACACGCGCGCATTATTTCAGTGACACGCCAATTTAAAATATAATTCTTAATTTTTACTTCACTTTCCAAAAAAATTATTGTTAATTTTAAACTATTTTTAACTTATTATTGGAATGTATCGTAAGATATTGTAATCTGTACTTTCCATTTCCTAAGCTCGTAAACGAAACGATTAGATTATCAATAAATTCGTTTATCGCGTTTACGTAACAAACGTAGGTAAAACAGAACAGTCGACAGTCGTCAACAGATAGTTTCGGATGCCTTACACGACGACTATTTTAACCAACCTATTCAATATTGCTTCGGGCTTTCTCAATATAATTCACGTTTAACCGTTGGAAGTTTAATACATTGGTGAATATTATTTATTTTTATTATTTTCAAAAATTAAAAATTCGTATAAAATAATTAATACTATATTCTTAATTTATAGAATAAAAATGTCCAAAAAATTAAAACTGAATCCAGAAAAAAGCGGTAGTGGGAGATTATTCCACGAACAGTGGACAGTGGATTTTGGTGTAATTCAAAACAATAATAAGGTACTATGTTGCTTGTGTAACGAAACAGTTGTAAGCCGTAGTTTTAATGTTAAAAGACATTTCGAGACAGTTCATAACAATATATTTTCTCTATCGGCTGAAGAAAAATTAGAATTGATTTCTCAAAAAGTAAAATTTTTTAGAAGTCAATCAAACAAATTTAAAGTGGCGTTCAAACAAAATAATAATTTATCAGCCGCTAGTTTTTCTGTGTCACATTGCATTGCGCAGCATGGTAAGCCACTTTCTGACGGAGAATACTTAAAAGAAGTTTTTGTTAAGGCGTCTAACATTTTGTTTCATGATTTTACTAATAAAAATGAAATAATAAAACGTATTAACGATTTGCCTGTTAGTAGAAATACTGTAAAAGATCGTATTATTTGTATGAGTAATGATATAACAGATCAGCTTCAAACAGATTTGGCTTCAGAAAATTATTTTTCAATCTGTCTTGACGAAAGTACAGATGTAACTTCACAGGCGCGACTAGCAGTCTTTGTTAGGTTCAGTAGTGTTAATATTATGAGGGAAGAATTAATAAAATTAATGACGATTTCTACTAAAACAACTGCTCAAGATATTATGAATGTAGTACTTAAAGAATTCGCCAATTTAAAAATAAATATAAATAATATTGTTTCAATAACTACGGATGGTGCCCCTAATATGGTTGGCAAACACAATGGATTTGTTCAACTTTTTTCGAAAGAAATTTCTCATCCGTTAATCAGTTTTCATTGTTTAATACATCAAGAAGCGTTGTGTGCTAAAGACAGCTTGAAATCGCTTCAAAATGTAATGGAAGTAGTTACAAAAGTTGTCAATTTCATTACATCTCGTGCTTTAAATAACCGACAATTTACTAAATTATTAGATGAAGTTGAATCACAATACGCTGGCCTTTTAATGTATAACAGTGTTCGTTGGTTGAGTCGTGGTCAAGTTCTTCATCGATTTGTTGAATTATTAGAAGAAATACGATTATTTTTATTCGAAAAATCTCAAGACTATCCAGAACTTAAAGATTTAACCCTTTCAGGACAGCACCTTAATAACGTTGAAAAAGTAACAATTTTTTTGGCAATTTCAAAATTTTTCCTATTTCTAAGATAGGATTAGAAAAAAAAAAATTTTTTTTTTTTATCCTTCATCCTTATTTTATCCTGGGACTTAAAAGTCCCGTCGGTCCTCTATGGTCTGGACTTAAAAGTCCCGTCAGTCATCTAGGTCATTTTTTTTTTACATACAAGCAATGTAAAAATAATTATAAAATTAAGGACTTTTAATAAAAAAATGTAAAAAAAAATGAAACAATTACAATTTAAAAAAAATGAGTACACAAATACAAAGGTAAGATATTTATTTAAATTTCATGATATTCATTAAAACAGTTTTTTTTCTCATTTATACACAGGTGTATGTTACAATGCATGCACTTTGAATAGGGTCTAGACTCTATTTGTTTTGAGCTGCATACCTCACATCTTCTTCGTTCTTTTACAAAAGTTGGCCAGTGTATTCCTCTGTTACCAGTGCGCACATCTTGTGGTAATGAAAATTGATTTTTTCTCCTTTTAACATTTTTGTCAATTTGAGTTGATGGCCTTTTTTTTCCAAGTGTTTGTTTTGTAAGTAACCCTTGAACGACAGATCTTCTATATTCTAATACTGACATTTTCCCAAAAAGGGAACAGTATACTACGTATGAATTAACAAACATAATATCCAGCAGCCCGAAGAATAGTCTGTGCCACCATTTACGTGATTTTCTTTCTATGTTGTATAGAGCACGTAACCTGTCTGCATGATCTACCCCACCCATATACTTATTGTAGTCTGATACTGAAGCTGGACATTTAACCGAAACTGATGATCCATCTTTATTTTTTCGGTTTACATTTGTAATTTCTGACCCATGAAAGTTGGAAATAAAGTGAACAGCTTTATTGTCCATCCACTTTATAAATGACACTCCATCTGGTAAATATTTAATATCGGAGTCTCCTCTACTCATTTTTTTGTCCAAAATCATTTGATTAGGCAATCCTTTTCTATTTGCTCGTATAGTCCCACAACCAAGTGTTCTTTCAACATGTAGTTTTTGCAAAAGTTTTGGAGAAGAAAAATAGTTATCAAAATAGATTTCACGGTACTCATTCCACACAGATTTGGTTAGTTCTAGGACGACACGTTCACCAAGACCATAATTTTCAAATTCTGAGCTTACATTTTCTTCCTTGCCTTGATACACTTTAAATGCCAACATATATCCCTTCTGATCCGCCATACTCCAAATTTTGTAGCCTCTTTTGATGGGTTTCATCGGGTTGTATTGTTTGATACTTGATCTGCCTTTGAATTTTATCATACTTTCATCGACACTTATTTCTCTTGTTCCATAAAAATTATTTTTAAATGAAACATTTAATTTGTCTATAATTGGTCTCAATTTAAATAATTTGTCCTTGTTATTAGGGGGCAATGATTTATTATCATTACAGTGCAAGTTCACAAGTATTTTTTCAAAAGTATTACGAGGCATAGCATTTGAAATTAACTTCACACCTAAATCGGGTGATGTGCTCCAGTAGTCCTTATAAGATGGAACACTGTGATACCCCATAAAAAAGTTTATACCAATAAATATAAGCATGTCTTCTCTTTGAATTCTCAATGTTTTGTTATTTTGTGTTCTATACAAATTGGTTTGATAAACCAAGTCATCTAGAATAGATTCCATGAAGACCATGAATACATCTGTTGGTGTATTGCACATATCAAATCCAATGGCTCCTTCTGGTTTTAAATATTCAGGTCTTACAGTTTTCACACCAGTCTTTCGAGCCCAAACCTGGTCGTCATCTGAATACTCTAACTCATCTAAAAAATAAAAATAAAAATAAAATAAAATTACATTTGAAAAAAAACTAATATAGTTCCTTACCTAAATCATTTGATTTTTTTGATTTTTTGGTTTTACTCTTGGTTATTTTACCCTTGGGTTTTTTTGTTTTGCACACATTTTTTCCCTCATCAACAACAACAGCTTCATTATTCAACATATCATTTTCATTGAGATTTATAGTCTCATCGCCATCAACAACATATACAAAGTCTAAACAAGTTTGTAATAAAAAACTTAGTTATTGTATTGAAATAGTTCAGAAATAAACATTTTATAAAACAAATAAGTTTCTTACCAACATCTTTTGATTTTTTGATTTTACTCTTGGAATTTTTTGTCTTGCACACATTTTTTCCATCATCAACAACAGCAGCTTCATTATTCAACATATCATTTTCATTGAGATTTATAGTCTCAACACCATCAACAGCATATACAAATTCTAAACAAATGTGAAATAGTTTTTTTTGTTTATTTGTATAATTTGTAATATTGTATGGAACCACTTCAGAAATAAACTCACCACAAATGTCTAAATCAATGTCAACAGTGTCTTGCACTTCATCAACATTATTATACAAATCTAGTGGGCTTATTACATCTTCATCCAGTGTTTCAAAATCATCATCGAAATCTGAATTTATGTCCCCGTCATCTGGGATTTCATCCAAGAACCGCGAAATATCATCTACATTTAACTTATTCATTTTCTGCAAAAATAATTTGAAAGAAAAATAAATAATAATAAAATTATAATTTATAATAATTATTATTTATGCTAGGCCAAGCTTGTCACTGTAATGCCTAACGGGACTTCTAAGTCCCGGTTAGTTTATAGCATTTAATATCCAACCTAACTATACTAGAGCATTTAATATTATAGAAAAAAGTAATATGGAGTATATCAATTACAAATAAAAAAAAATTGCATGCTTACCTTAATTAATACAGCGAATAAAAATTGTCAAATTTTCGAAAACTGTAAAAACGTGTTTATGAAAAGTAGTAATCAACAAACACTATTGAAACTATGATAACTGATTATTTTTTCTTCCAAGATAATTTTTTCTGGTAGAATACGGGACATAGAAGTCCCGTCGGGCAATAACAACTGTTCCACACTAATACGTAATTTTATACGATTTTTTTTTTGGCCGGGACTTTAAAGACTTTTTTTTTTATTGGTTGAACGATTTAATGTTTTTCACTGATTTTACTACAATGTATAATGAATTAAATAAAAAACTTCAAGGGCCCGGTCACATAGTCTTAACAATGTTTGAAAATATCAAAGGTTTTGAAAAAAAAATTGAAATTTATTGTAAAGATCTTAAAAATGAAAAATTTAAATATTTTCCACATTTGAAAAATCATCTGAACAATTCATTACACTTTGCAGATAGTCAGACTGACATCAAATGTATAATTAAAAAATATGTTAATATATTAGAAAATACAACTGAATTATTTTCTAATAGATTTTCACAGTTTCGATGTCTAGAACCAACCTTTCAATTTTTAATAAATCCGCATAAAATTACATATGATGAACTTGATCTATCTTTTTTTGAATGGCTAAATATCGAAAACTTAGAAATGGAATTAATAGAATTTCAGGGAAATGTAATTTGGAGAAATAAATTTATTAATTTAAACAGTGAACTGGAAAAAAATTATTGTGAAATTGATAGCAGTATTAAAACCGAAAACCTAATTCTTATTGAGTGGAAAAGTCTACCAAATTCATTTACATCCATGAAAAAATTAGCACTTTCATTATTGACTATGTTTGGTTCTACATATACATGTGAGCAGCTATTTTCCTCAATGAATTTTATCAAATCCACTTTGAGAAATCGTCTTGGAACAGATATCAGTGCAGCATGTATTCAATTAAAATCTACAAATTATAATCCCAGGATTGATTCGTTAGCTGGAAATATGCAGCAACAAATTTCTCATTAAAAACTTATTTTTGTAATTAAAAAAAATATGTGTTTGTATTAATATGTAATAGTAAATTAATGCTGTAAAGATATATTAATATGTACATGTAACTTTATAAATAGTAAATAGTAAATGCTGTAAAGTTTAAATATTTTATACACCTAACAACAAATAAAATCATGTTTATATGTTTAATTAATTATTTTTTAAGCAAAAAAAAAGGTCTGCAAAGTTTCTGACAAGCGAGGCAAATAAAATCAAACCAAACATTTTGATTTGACACGCAGTTATCAAAAGGTTCGCCATCCCTGTTCTAGGCCGTCGTTGACTGCCGCCATCACGCGGTTGAACATCGTTCGCTGTTCGGCGTTCATGTCGTCCAACTGTTGTGCCTAACCTAACCATGCCGCCGCATATATTGCTTGGAACAGTCTGTCGTCCTGTTCCGGTTCCAGCATTAGGGGGTCGGAAAGGGGCAAACCGTAGTCGCCCAGCGACTTTCCGTGCCGTATTAGATTAAGTATTAACAAATATTTTACGTTGACGATACGTATACTCATATTCGTACATTTTTCGTGATAAAATTAAGTTTATTCTACGTTGATCGTACGGTGATTATTGGTTGGTCGAACTTACGTCGAAATGTAGGTAAGTATTAACAAATATTTTACGTTGACGATACGTATACACATATTCGTACATTTTTCGTGATAAAATTAAGATTATTCTACGTTAATCGTACGGTGATTATTGGTATATATATTATATTGGTCGTATAACTGAACAACGAAAAACCGATGATAAAAATATTGAATAAAAATAAAATTCACATATTATGTAAATATTTTATAAAACAAAATAATTATATATTTGTCCCGTGTTCTAACTTCTAAGTGAGGTCTGAGGAGACGTACTTTTGTCTCCTATGACGCTTTTCCACTTCCTTATCATCCCATCTATAATTATATACTCTGTTTCAAAAGAGAATATACCACTTTTTCGCGCAACTGCAGTTGCATGTGGCCGATCAAAACTGTCAGATGAGTATACACCACGATTAAAGATATAATAATATATATATATTATATCTTTAATCGTGGTATACACCTATTTCAAATAACTTTATTTGTATACAACGGTTAGCGCGAGAATAAACCCGTATATTGTGCTAATTGGAACTGGCTGTCGGCTGTATGTATATGCTGATGGTGGTCGGGTCGCCTGATACGACTGGGTAATTCCATTAATATCTTGAAGCAGCTTGTTTATCTGTGAGTCGGCGGCGTTCCCTTACCCCCGCCGATCACAATCAACAACAACATAATCGCCGTTGGCTGATGCGTGCAGCGTGCACCCGACGGTCCGACATTTCGATTTTCCATTGCGACTTGTACACTTCCTGGCTTCCATGCATCCACTGTTCATGGTTTTACGTCTACACTCCACATGTTATAGTGACTATTTTTTTTTTATAGTGATGACTGATTAGTGACTATAGTCAACTTAAATCTAAGGTAAAAACTTTTATGATTTATAAATATAGTTATAACGAGCGCTTGTAGTTTTACATAGTATTGCGTACAGAGCACCTACAATGCATGCGAATTGCGAAGTCGCTAATAATTTTAACTGCTTTTAATTAATAATGTTTAAATGTTTGTTTATGTAATGATAAGTTTAAGTCCACAGTTGTTATACTACTCATGGTTAGGTTAAATCTTTGTTTACATTTTAAGTAATTATAAATGGTTAAAATATTTCATGATATATAATATTTTATGTATATTAAAAATTATATTATACAATTTTTTAAAAAACAACTGGGAATCTTAACAATATTTTAATTTAAATTAAACTAATGTAATTTGATTATGTACAATTCATAAATGTAGGTATAGTAATTGATATGAATAAATTGTTTAAATTAAAAACTTATTTACCTAGTATTTTTCATCTAATTATGCTGTATTCTTAAATTGTTAATAATAAAATTTTTTTATCAATAATTAATTACCTGGAATCAGGCCCGTATTTAAAAATTTGGCGCCCCCGGGCATATAATTTATACCCCCCCCCCCCACCACAATAAATAATAATAATATAACACTAATTATTTCGTTCGTAATTGATTCTTTAATATTAAAACGACCTGCTCGCGACTTGGTCCCCTAGTCCTGGGCCTCCCGGCCCACGATTACGTCCGTACAGCCGACACGACACCGTCGTCTACCACCGCAGCACAACCGGCCCTTCACTTTATTTTCACACTATAATTAATTTTTTCGTCTCAATATAATAAACATCTTTCGTAAATATTAAAATATTAAAATAATATTTTGCCGCCCCCGGGCATATGCCTACCCGTGCCACCCCTAAATATGGGCCTGCCTGGAATACAGAAATTAAAACAATTATTCATAGATAATTTTGGATTATTAAAATATTTAAGCTATTTATCTATACAGATCAAAATGACAAAATCCATACCCAATACCTACCTATCTTTTTATTTTTACATAAATATCAAGGATGAGAGAATATTATAAAACACCATAATATGAAACCATATAAAACCATTATAGATATATCTCGGCATTCAATAATATTAAATTTATAAATTTTATTGTCAATTCTAGACTAACCATAAGTAAATGCTAAAAACATGCCAAGACATGCGTATAAACCAAGTAACAGTTTGACAAAGAGTTCTAAAAAGCGACGAGAAAAACAAAGTATACATGTTCCAGTCTCGCTTTCTAGTGTTGATTCTTTAGTGGTTAAAAATGTTCCTATTGTTGAAAATGTAATTCAAACTGAGTCATCAAGAACCCTAGATATATCTATTCAATATTCACCTAAAACTATATTTCTGAGTAGTTTGAGCTCTACTGAAGAAAACAACCATTTTGAAAATCAATCTTTGACTGAATTAAACGTTTTAGCTCATACCTCCAATAATCCTACATTTCAATCAAAATTGGCATCTTTTATTGTTTCATCAAGACTTTCAAGAAGTAAAACTACTGTCTTATTGAAATTGCTTAAATCTGTTGAGGATATTGCATTCTTACAAGATCTTCCTTCAGATTATAGAACACTTCTTTATACTCCTTTATCTGGTAAAGTGAAAATTGATCAAATAGCAGGAGGAGAGTATATTCATTTTGGAATTTGTAAAGGATTAAATTATTTGTATAGTGTTAATTATTATATGCGCCAAAAATCAGTACTTGAATTATGGTTTAACATAGACGGTTTACCAATTGATAAAAGAGGTCAATCATTCTGGCCAATATTGTGTGGTGTTTGTATACAACAATGTGTCAAGCCTTTTATTATTGGAGCTTATTTTGGTTCTAAAAAACCAAGTAATGTTTTTGAGTATCTTAATCTTTTCATTGGTGAACTTAATGATCTATTACGGAATGGTATTACAATTGGACATACAACAATATCTGTTACTCTAAAAGGGATAATTGCTGATGCCCCGGCTCGAGCATTTATAAAGCAAATTAAGGGTCATACTGGTTATTATGGATGTGAAAAATGTGAAGTGGAAGGCATTCATTTAAACAATAGTGTATATTTTCCTGATTGGACTGCACCATTACGTACTGACAATTCATTTATTCAACATTCAAACGAAGAACATCACATAGGAGAATCTCCATTACAAAACATACCAAACTTTGGACCTGTGTCATGTACTCCATTAGATTATATGCACTTATGCTGCCTCGGTATTATGAAGAAAATAATA